GTGAGTCGAGGGGCTCCTGAGATTTTTTTTTTTTTAGGTTTTTTTTTGAGATTTTTTTTTTTTTTTAGAGTTTTTTTTTTTCCGTTTTTTTTAGGTTAAAAGTCGGTTATTAGATAAACCCTCGTATATTTTTTTCTTCTTCTGGTCTCGTCTTCTTCTTCCTCTTCCTTCTCCTTATTCTTATTCTTCCAGCTTAAAACCCGACCTTAGATAGAAAAAAAGACCCAAAATTCTTGCCCCCCCTTTTTTTTTTAATCTTCCTCTCCCTCTCTCTCTTCTTCCATTTCCTTTCTCTCTTCTTGCCCCCCCCTTTTTTTAATCTTCCTCTCCCTCTTCTTCTTCATTTCCTTCTCTCTTCTTGCCCCCCCCCCCCCCCCCTGGCAATTCACCCAACCCCAAATTTAAATCGCCTTTCACAAACGCCATATAATCTAGTGCAGTAAAGTTTCCTCACCCAAAAGCAAGGGGTCGAGGAGCCTGCAAAAGTGGCTTATCCTGTTCAGTGACTCCTGCAACATTTTCATGATAAGTGTGCAACAGGTTACTTGCACCGGCTCGTGGTTGGAGTCGATAGGCGTGCAACAATTTAGTTATTTTTAGGTTTCAGCTGATAAGAATAAATAGATATAGGCCTATGATAAATAGCAATATAGACAAGAAGAAGAATAAATAGTTATATGATAAATATCAATATGATAGGTATGTTTATATATAAGAATATGATTCCCAACATAACACATATCACGACGAAGGGAATGTGAACACTGCAAACAGCAGAAATCAACATATCAACATGGAATGCAACATAACCCCAACATAACACATCATGACAAAAGAAAAATGATCATGAGCCCTAACATACACATATCAGGACAAAGGAAAATGAAACTGCAAACAGACCAGAAACCAACATATCAGCATAAAGAACATGACACCAACATAACACATCATGACCAAAGAAAATGAACATGACCCCAACATAACACATACCGCGACCAAGAGAAAACGAAATCGCAAACAGACCAGAACCCAACATATCCCCATAAGAAAACAACATAACCCCAACATAACACATTTCGCGACAAAGGAAAATAAAATTGCCGATAAAGAGTAACAGGTTTAGTTCTCAGCATATTTTTTTTTTTTTTTTTTTTTTTTTTTTGTGATAACTGCGCTCTGAAATGGACTTTGGAGTTACTGACCGTGACTGAACGGCGGTGAACGTGACTGACTAATAATAACTTGATCAGTTTGAACAAGAAGAACAGTTATTCATTTGTTGTTGTCGTGGAAGGAGTAATAATGAGATCGTAAATATAAGGAAGAGAGAGAGAAGAGAGAGAGAGAGAGAGAGAGAGAGAGAGAGAGAGAGAGAGAGAGGAGAGAGAGAGAGAGAGAGAGAGGGAGGGAGGAGGGAGGGACAGAGACAGATAGACAGACAGACAGACAGAGAGAATGAAAATAAGAACAGAAAGTGGGAAGAAGAAAAAAGAAGAAAATAAGAACGAAGAAAAGTGGGAAGAAGAAGAAGAAAAAGAGAAGTATAAAAAAAAACGAAAAGGAATCATATTCAAAACGAAACCAAACTAGCCAAAAAAAAGGGGGGGAAACCACAGACACCACACCAGGGACGCGGTTGCTGTCACTCCACGAGAACCCACAGGATCTGCCAACAGCACTCCGTTCATACCTGAGGAGTGACAACACCCTCTCGGCTATGCGTCGGCCCGGAAATACTGGCGAGGCGGAGTGGAGGATGCGTGGAAAAGGTCAGAGTTGGGAGTTGGAGTGTTCCTTGCAACCAGATAACCACGCTGGGCTATGTGTGGCGGTGATGTCATTTCTTTGCCGGGTTTTGAATGCACGGGGCATTTCTCTCTCGCTCTCTCTTTCTTTCTCTCCTTCTCTGTCTCTTTGTCTGTCTCTCTCTCTCTCTCTCGCTCTGTCTCTGTCTCTGTCTCTGTCTCTCTCTCTCTCTCTCTCTCTCTCTCTCTCTCTCTCTCTCTCTCTCTCTCTCTCTCTCTCTCTCTCTCTCTCTCCTCTCTCTCTCTCTCTCTCTCTCTCTTCTCTCTCGCCCCTCTTCTCCCTCTATCTTCTCTCTCACCACACAACATCCCTCCTCTCCATCCCTCTCTCCCTCCCTCCCTCCTTCTCTCCCTCTTATTATCCCCCCATTTATCCATTTCTCCAACATCTCTAAGAGCGACACATAGGCCTATCGTTAATGGGAGATGACGGGGCTATCTCACCATCAGCTGGGCATGGTTTGGCATTTGCTCAGCGGGCGTGCGGGCGTGTAGGCGTATGGGCGTGACAGGGAGATAAATTCAGAGGCGTAAGTCAATGTCGAATGGATGCGGATGCTGTCATACGCCCAGACGCAGACGTGCATGGGCGTGAAGACAGAAGAGACCTTTAGCTCTTTCTCTCTCTCTCTCTCTCTCTCTCTCTCTCTCTCTCTCTCTCTCTCTCTCTCTCTCTCTCTCTCTCTCTCTCTCTCTCTCTCTCTCTCTCTCTCTTTCTCTCGATTTATTTCTCTCTTTCTCTGTCTGTCTGTCTCTCTCTCCCTCTCCTCTCCCTCCCCTCCCTCTCCCTCTCCCTCTCCCTCTCTCCCTCCCTCTCCCTCTCCTCTCCCTCTCCCTCTCCCTCCCCTCTCCCTCTTCCTCTTCCTCTCTCTCTCGGTCGCAACACGTTGCACGTTTTATGGATGGTATGCAAACATACACACATTAATACATATGTGTATATGTGCGTGCGTGATCAACGATAGCTATACTATTTCTCCCAAATTTTCGTATTTAATTTTCCGTTTTTTTTTTTTTTTTCTTTTTTGTCTTTTTTGTCTTTTTTGTCTTTTTTTGTGGGGAAATCATATACTGTAAATCTTTCACTCAAAATTACAGTCAAACGCAAACTCTAATAATATTCACATCTTTAATTCTGACACTTTGTTCATCTTCAGCGTTCCAAAAAGTACAAATTACTGATAACTTTCCTTCTTAATTTTGTTCACGTTTATGTATGTAATGAAATAGTTACAGTAAGGTTAATACTAAAGCCGGCACGTTTCGAGTTAAAATGTTCTCCTCATCAGACAACAACCGAAAAGGTGGTATATGTGTTGTATATGTTGTTGTGTGTTGTGTTGTGCCTTTGGTGATGTGTGTGATGTTATCTTATGTGGTGTGTGGTGTCACCTGTTATGGTGTAATGTATTATTTGTCATGATGTGTGGTGTATCTGTTATGGTGTTATGGTATTATTTCATGTTATTTGCATGGCGATGTGTCATCTGTGTTATGTGTTATCTGTCACTATGGTGTTATGGTATTAGTGTCATGATGTTGTGGTGTCGTCTGTTATGGTGTTATTGTATTATTTGTCATGTTATCTTGCATGGCGATGTGTTATCTGTATTTGTTATGTGTTATCTGCTGTGGTGTTATTCTATGGTGTTATGGTATTACGTGTCATGATGTTGTGGTGTCGTCTGTTATGGTGTTATTGTATTATTTGTCATGTTATCTTGCATGGCGATGTGTCATCTGTTTTTGCTATGTGTTATCTGCTGTGGTGTTATTTGTTACTATTGAGTTATGGTATTACGTGTCATGGTGTTGTAGGTTCTCTCTTATGGTGTTATTTGTTGTTCTGGTGTTCTGGAAATTTCTGTTATGGTGTTATAACTCATGGTGTTTACTTGTTATGGTGTTGTCTGTTATAGTGTTTTCTGTTAAGGTGATATAATATGTTATTCTCTTATCAGTGGATTTAAAACCTCTCTTTTTAGTATTTTCCTTATTTATTTATCTATTTATTTATTTCATTTCTTTAATACATTTTTGAAGACGCTAATCTGCGTTTGTGTCTATACATGTGCGGTTCATATACACGCATTGTGTATAGGCCTATATGCAGTGAGAGAAGAGATAATATGTAACTTTATATAAGATTAATTCTACTTTGATTGACGTTTTTTTTAGAGATTGTCGAATGGCAGTGCAGTTTATATTCGTGAAATATTCATGAATTATATAATTGGTACAAATCGATGAATATCTGCAATTATACATTTTAGATTGTGATTTTAAAAAGTTGTGAAATCAGACAGTTATAGTATTTACAACCGTCGCGGGAATGAGTTTGTGATAAATTGAACTAGAAAGATGATATCTCACTGTCTAGGGTGTACACGTAAGATATTAATTATATATGCAAATGACAAGTTAGATATGGGATTTCTCGTAAGCTTACATATTTGCGGTTGTATAGTGTTTATAGTAAAAATCTGCCTTTATAAGATTTTATTAATTTTATCTATGTATTATTATAATATATTTTCATTTTATTGTTATATTATTTTATTATTATTATTATTATTATTTTATTATAATTTTATTATTTATTGTTATTATTATTATTATTATTATTGTTGTTGTTGTTTCTGTGTTGCGTTTGTAAAGGGTTTTGAATAAGAGAGAGAGAGAAGAAAAAGAAGAAGAAGAGAGAGAAAAGAGAAAGAGAGAGAGAGAGAATAAAACACATGTATACAACATATACAAAAATATCCCAGACCGCCATTCTAAAAAAAAAAAAAATGTCTTAATTCAAAAGTCTTTCCGTTAACAACATAACAAGACCCCTGATGTGATAAGTGTCATATACAAAACCTCATTAAGAATAACACTTGCAAATATTCTTCTTTTCATGATGCAACCACTGCAGACAGCCTAATAATGCAATCAAATTTGATCATCAAAGAACTCAATGCAATAGGTTAAAGAACCATTTTTTTTTTTTTCAAGTTCACAATCAGCTTTCAGTTACAGATACAAATCATTCGATAAATCATAACGACCTTTGCGGAAAACTTAACCTACGCATCAGTCTTTTTCTCTTTTTTTCGTTTTGTTTTTTCTGCTTGTTTGATTCAGTCTTTTTCTCTTTTTTTCGTTTTGTTTTCTTCTGCTTGTTTGATTCAGTCTTTTTCTCTTTTTTTC